TTGGTAGGCAGGCACTGACCGCATGCTCTGTGCTCACGGTCTTGTTTCAGTGCCCACGTCCTCTTCTTGTCTCGGTCCCCGGGTGGTATAAACCATTAGTGCGCTCGGCAGCCATTCAGGTCCAGCCAGATGCACCTGAAAAAACCCTGTCAGTCGAGTGCTGGAAACAGACACATGGAGCACAGCGCTACTCTTAGGCACATGGGTCACCATGAGTCAGAGTGAATTTGACGCCTTCTGGTGGTTTTCGCTGACCGCAAGATGCTGTGGTTTATGTCGCAATGTCTGAGACTCCTAAAGCGCTTCAGTTTCCTCCAGAGTGTGGCCCAGATCCACTTCTCACGACCCTCAGAATAGACTGGGGAGAGGAGTAGCCCACACAGCTGGTATGCCGACAGACCACGGGATGGCCAGCACACCTCCCTCCTTCTGGCTTCCCACCATCCCTCCTTAGTCACCATGTCCACTTGTCCACCCCTCCCTGACACCTGCCCAGGTGCATGAAAGGCACTGCTATCACTGTCCCGCCCCACAGAAACTCACGTCAGAAAGAGAAGGATCCGGCCAGGTGTGAACTGAACACACTCTTCCACTGGCTGACTGTTACCTGCATACACTGCCGTCCCCTCTCCCAGCCCTGGACTCTGTGGTGGTAAAGTGGAAAGTCTAGAGCTGTCCCCTCTGGTTGGCTGTGACAGTTTAACTGTTTAACATCCTGTGGCGCTCCCAGAACAGGGCCTGGCAGGTAGGTACTCCACAGGTGTTTGTGTTCCTGCTCCCTTCTCAATAATAGCTTCAGGTTGGGGAAATGTCCGTCTTGCTGCTCCCCGGCCCCAGCTTAGCAGGTAACAAGGCAGGTTAGCATTCTTCAAGGGGAGGGAACCTTATTCCTTACTCTTTCCTTTAAAAAAAAACTAGTTGGAACAGTTGGTTAGATTCCAACTCAAGGCAACCTTATGTGTTCAGAGTAGATTTGTGCTCCATCAGATTTTCAGTGGCTGGTTTTTTGCAAGTAAATCATTAGGCCTTTTTCCTGAGGTACCTCTGGGGACGACTCAAATTTCCAGTCTCCTGAGTAGCAGCTAAGTACATTAACCTTCTGCAGCACTCAGGAATTCCTGCCCTATTTTACCCATCTTTCATTGTGACCTTATTAACGTATCATTTGGTTTATGAAAAGCTTAATATGGCTCCCCTAAAATTATTTCATAATTCGCTGACATTGTTGTTCTTGTTAAATGCCATCAAGCTGGTTCTGACTCATAGCGACCCTCCAAGGAGCGGCTGGTGAATTTGAACTGCTGACTGGGCAGTTGAAACCAGCCTTGCAGTCCGGTGCAGCAGCACGATTTCCCCTATAGCTGATGGCTCCATTAGTGGAGATATTGTTAGAACTTGTCTCCTGAATCCCTTAGTGGCTTATTCTTAGTCATTGTCACCTGCTCTGGTGGCAGCTGTGTGTGTAAGTGCCTAGACTTCAGGGAATCCATTTCCTAAGTTAGAAGAAGCTGGGTAAACAGCTGTCATTTTCCCCTACTTGACATCCATTTGCTGTTTGCCAGCTTGGGTTAAACTCTCATTCTGGCAAGAGCTAAATGTGGCACCGTAGGATAAGCACTGGACCGCAAGGTCGGTTTGAACCACCAGGCCAGTGGTTCATACTCACCAGCTGCTCCTCGGAAACCCCATACAGACTTGCTATGAGTCAGAACCGGCTCGACAACACACAGCAACAACAACAAATCTCTCCTGCTCGATTCTGTTCTTTTATACTTGACCTGTTCTTTTCGTCCCAGCCCCATTGTCTTGGATTTGGTTATGTCCCTACAAAACATGAATCAACTTGACAGGTCCATGATTCTCAGTGATTGAGTGGTTGTGTGATGATGTAATTCCCCTCCCCTTCCCCCGTGATGCAATCAGCCCAGATCTGATGTAGTTACCCTGTGTGTTGTGATTTCTCACTTATATGCCAATAATGAGGACTGGTGCAGTCTGCAAGATTAGGTTGTGTCTTGAGTCAGTCCCTTTGAAATATAAAAGGAGAAAAAATTGAGCAGAGTTCTGAGGGACCAATAAAACCAAGAAAGAAGATCTGGGAGTGGAATACAACCTTTAGACCTGGGATTCCTCCAGCACTGTGAAGCTCCTAGACCTAGGGAAAGATTGTGCCAAGACATCTGGAGCTCTCCAAGGAATGCTGAGCCTGCAGATGCTGTAAAGAAACATGGACCTTTCCCCAGAACCAACAAAAAGCCTTCTCCTCGATCTGGACCTCAGAATTTGGACTGCTGGCTTCCTAAACTGAGAAAATGCAGTTCGGTTTGCTCTAGCCATCCTCTTGTGGTATTGCTACCATAGCAACACTTAAGAACAAAGACATTTATCCAGACCAGATAGTAGTCAGGTGTGTGCCTGGAGAGAGCCGGTGGCTCATTGTTAGCACGTGTAAAGTGAGTCACATCCATCGGTACAAAGCAGCACTTTGGACTCAATGAAAAGAGGCAGTTACTGGCTTGAAGGATGGTTTTCTTTTAGGAGACTTTGATTCCTGAAGGAGTTAGGAAACCACACATGATAGGTTACCAGATTTTAAAATAAAGCCAGTCCCCAAAAGGAGTAACAGAAATGTGTATGTGTGAGTGTATTACATTTAGCAAAATGCATATTTCATGTTAATTCGCACAACACCACCATGCAGTAAACAAGGGTAGAGTTGATGGTTCAGATTTCCAAGCGAGCACTGAGGCTCGGGGATCTTGAATGACTTACCTATGCTCAGCTCATCCCGCAGCCAGTTGACCACGATTGGAGCTCAAGTCTGATGACCACCTGGAGAATGTCCCATGGCAGGGAGGACTGAAGCAGTGCTGGAGTTAAAGGAGAAGAAAGAGACACAGGTAGCAAATGGGACATTTGTGGGGGACAAAGAAAATCAGTCTTAATAGAAATGAAGCATCTTTCAAACTTCTAACTATACCCAACAACCAACAATAAGAAATACACCTTACATTTCAGTCTGCTGCGTACATACATGCCTGGGTACCAGAACAAAAATTTCATGAACCAATATAATTTAAATATGTATAATATGCTCTGAAATAAAACAATGTATTACATTGGACAAGTCTGCCACGAAAGACCCCTTTAAAGTATTTGAGAGCCAAGTTGTTGCTTAGAGGACTAAGGTGCACCTGACTCAAGCCGTGGTATTTTCAGTTGCTTCATGAGTCTGCCAAAGCTGGACAGTGACTAAGGAAGACTGGAAAACTGATGCATTTGAATTAGAGTGTTGGCAAAGAATTCTGAAATTATCATAGGCTGCCAGACAAACCTGTCTTGGAAGACATACAGCCTGAATGTTTCCTTAGAAGGAAGAGTGCTGAGACTTTTCCTCACATACTTTGCTCATGTGATCAGAAGGGACCAGCCCCTGACATCATGCTTGGTAAAAGTAGAGGGTCAGCAGGAAAAAGGAAGACCCTGAATGAGATAGATTGATACGGTGGCTGCTACAGTAAGGGTTGTAAGGATGGCACAAGATTAGACTGTTTTGTTCTGTTGTGCATAGGATCACTGTCAGTCAGAACCAAATATGCCCCTTCTTAAAAAATTCTATTTCAGGTGGTGGTTTGGTTTTGTTTTTAGTTGCTAACCATGACGCAGAGTCCTGGTGTGGTGCTGTAGGGTAAGCACTCCACCACAAGTTTGGTTTGAACCGTTCTGTCGGTGGTTTAAACTCACCAGCCACTCCTCAGAAAAACCCTAACCAGGGTCGCTATGAATCGGAACCACCTTAATGACAGTAACAACAAGAAGAAGCTATGTCAGAACCATACTCTCTATGTTCTGACCATACTCAGTGCTGGATGATAGGGGTTCCCAATGGCAAATAACAACAGCAATGTAGATAACAAAGGACCCAAGTGATGAGGTGGGGCAGAAGTTCATTTGCCACAAGTACTTGGAGCATTGTGTTTGTGGTTTTCCTATCACTTTGCCCACTGTCATAATGATACTGTGTAGAAAACAGGAACATCATAAATGCTGAAAACGTCGGTAACACTGAACATTTTAATCAAAGCTTCTGTTGAAAAGCACTAATCCAAGTGGGCCTGGGAAACACAGAACAGAATTTCTCACTGTCATGGACTCCAAACTATCAGGAGCTGTCAGGCTATATGAACCTCTGAAACTATTGGCAAGCTAGTCTTTAAACCTTAAACCCAAAGTATTGCAGGAAGTCTCCTATAAAACCAAGTTTTAGTCTACCTTGTTTTTAAATGCCATCCAGTCGGTTCTGACCTATAGCAGCCCTGTATAGGATTTCCGAGGAGCAGCTGGTGTATGAGATTGAACCGTTGACTTTGAGGTTCAACTTGACTTTGCAATCCAGCTTGTTAACCCACAGCACCACACCAGAACTGAAAAATGCCTGCCTTGAGCATTATACTCCACTCATAGCGATCCTATATAGAGTTTCCAAGGAGCAGCTGGTGGGCTTGAACCGCCAACCTTGAGTGCAGTTGGTAGTCCAGAGCTGATCCTACAGTGACACATCAGCAATTCAAAAGGTGAAGATAGGAAACTTAAGGGCCATAGAGTTTCTGTGAATGTGAGAAGAACAGCTCAGAAAAGGAGGGTGGAACATGGGTACAGAATCTCATCAAAGAATGCCGTCAGTGTCGCTGAGTCGTACATGCGGAGCCTATTGAATTGGTGTATGTTTTCAAAAAAACAAAAACAAAGCAAACACATGTCATGTAGCAATATAAGAATTCCTCTACTGATACGTTTATGTTAAAAAGAAAATATCTACTGATGTTCTTTGGTCTTTTGTTTTTAAGGAAGATGATGCTCCTGCTCTATGAAGAAGGCCTCCGGGTTGTCATCCACACCTCCAACCTCATCCACGCCGACTGGCACCAGAAAACTCAAGGGTGCGTGCGGTTCTCTTGACCTCATGGCCACTGTATGTGCTGAGAAAGGTCTCAAGCAGAACATTCACTCTGTTCTTTCTATCTTCTTCATTGTAGACATAACACATGCCATAGAAAAAGAGGTATATGCAGAAAAGGTTTGTGTTCAAATACATCAAGTGTGTTCTGACTCATAACGACCCTGTGTAGAATTTCTGAGGAGTGTCTGCTGGGCTTGAACTACCGACCTTGCAATTAGCAGCCCAGTGCTTATCTTACAGCACCACACCAGGACTCGTCCCCCAGTTCACTCTCTTGAGGTAACCAGAAGGAGTCCCCGTGGCATGGTGGGTTTGGCAGTAGGCTACTAACCCCAAAGTCAGCAGTTCAAACCCACCAGCCACTTCATGGGAGCAAGATGAGGCTGTCTGCTCCCGTAAAGATTTACAGTCTCAGAAACCCTAAGGAGCAATTCTAGCCCGTCCTACAAGATCACTAAGAGTCGGAAGCGACTTGATTAGCAGTGAGTCTGGCTTTGGTTTTGGTTTTGGAGGAAACGAGTGATAACAATTTGGTATGTAATCATCCACAACTATCTGTGGTACACCTGGGGTTTCAAAAAGTTCATGCAAAAATTCCATCATCATTTGGTCTGGCCCTCCCATGGCAACTGTAGTTCCAGCCATCATATTAGGGTCTCTCTGGATGGAGAGTCCAGGACTGCTGATGTGGCTGTAGGAGCAACACTCAGCTTTGGATCACAAGGTGTGTCTGCTTCAGGACTGGGGAAAGATGCTGACTCAGACAACAGATGTGGAAGTGCCCTGGAAGGCAAGAAAATTTCCTACACCCAGAAATCTAGTTTTTTAAACACCTTTCTAAGATCAATTTTTCAACAATTTGAAATGCACACAAAAGTCAATAAGCCAGCATTCCATAGGGTCAGCACTGGACTGCTAACCACAAGTTTGCAGTTCAAACACACCAGCCACTCTTCAGAAACCCTATGCAGAGTCGCTATAGGTCAGAGCCGGCTCGATGACACTTCACAACAACAACCAAAAGTCGTGGTGGGAGTCCTGGTGTGGTGCTGTTGAGTAAGCACTAACCTTAAGGTCGGTTTGAACCGCAAGGTCTGTGGTTCGCTTTCACCAGTTGTTCCTCGAAAACCCTATACAGGGTTGCTGTGGGTTGGAACTGACTCAATGGCACTCAACAACAACAAGGTCATAGTGAGGCATTCAAAAAGTCTTCATGTGATGGGAAGTCACTGAGTGGTGTGACTGAATTTACCTCTTTTAAAGTTCACTCAGGGACTGTGGTGGCTCCATAAGATAAGCACTGAACTGCGAACCACAAGGTCAGTAATTCGAGTCCACCAGCTGCTCCTCAGGCTCTCTGCTCTTGCGCTATATGTAAAGCCTTGGAAACCTTATACAGAATTGCTGTGAGTTGGAACTGACTCCACGACACTAAACAACAACAAAAATGGCTCTACTTACCATGCAGGAGTGGCACCTAGTGAGACTTAACCAGTTCCTTGGGGTGACTGTACCATCAGTTAGTGCAGGGAGGTCCTTGTGAGCCTTTCTGGTAAAGGGTTTTGCTTGTCTCTACTCCAGAATATGGCTGAGCCCCTTGTACCCACGACTTGCCCATGGTATTCACGGATCGGGAGAATCAAGCACACACTTTAAAGGCGACCTCATCAATTACTTGATGGCCTATAATGCTCCTTCCCTCACGGAGTGGATCGATACCATTCAGAAGCATGATCTTTCCGAAACCAAGTAGGTGCCGTCTTTTCAACAGGAGGTGCTCCTGGTAGGTTTATGCCTTGAGAGCCCACCAGTGGCCAGGGAGACAGGGGACATGATAGTTGACTGGACTTTGCGGGTAGTGAGGGAGTATGAGCAGATTCTGTCACTGGCCACATCTCCTGATTCTCTAGCATTAAGATCGAGACAAGTAAAGCTCTCCCTGTACCTTAAGGTTCTCACTGGAGCAGTAGGGAAGGCATCCAGTGCTTTGCCTTCTAGCTTATACCTTGTAGGTGTTGCGCCATGTTGAATGCAAGTTACTACAGCCAGAGAGACGCCATGCAAAAAGGGATGGGGCTTTAGAACATTTCATGATTATTTGCTACTTCTCATGCCCCTTTTGTGATGTTAAGATGCCCAGATCTCATCATGATTTTCCATGACTTAACGTTTTATTATTTTTTTTAGTGTTTACCTTATTGGATCAACCCCAGGACGATTTCAAGGAAATCAGAAAGACCACTGGGGACATTTTAGACTCAGGAAGGTAACGGAACTTTTTTTTCTCCCACTCAGGTACATTCTCAGCATTACTATTTCTCTAGCGCAATTCTGGGAGACCAGCATGCACTTGACACATTGATTGTTAAACCATAGGTTTCAGTAATTCTCCCTTTAATGTTTTGGTTTGACTCCTTTATTAGGGTTAGAGTAAATGATTCTGAATGGCACAAGTATCTGGACTTGGCGTTTAGGGCTGAGATGTTTTGAAATGAAGATAATGAAAGGCTTACCCTCATATAAAAAGTGCTGTAATTATTGATTGTTCAGCGCTTCAAGGATTTGTAGTAGACAAATTCAACAAAGAACCGAATACAGTGTGCTTAAGAGACCCAAAATTACAAAGGTAACTGCTGCTGGCATAAAAAAAGTGAACACGCAAAGGTCTTAAAACAAAATGAAACAGCAAAGCACGTTGAAGATCAAAGAGTCTGCATCTGTCGTTAGCATTTTTTTTTTTTAACTGTCCTTTACAAAGTCCCTAAAGTGGCTTTCTTAGAATTCGTATCTTTATATTATTTATGTCATGTAAGAATTCCCTTCCCTAACAAAAATTTTTTTGAAATAAGGCCACAATCTTGAAGATCTTTATTTCTTAACCTGTAGAGGGCATAGGGCACAGAGGTCACATGGACAGCCTTGGAGGGAGAGGCCCAGGCCTGGCCCCAGATCCTGTTACTTCTAAACCTAGGCGTGTTCTTAACCTGCCTGTCTTGTCATCTCTGAAGTGTGCCTAATCATGGCAGTCCCCTACCAAGGTGGAGTTTCATTACACACAGAATTGCGTGTTAAGATGAAATAAGGAAGGTCGAGCAGTGTAACGTAAGGATAAAGTGTTTAGAAGCATTAGGAGTTCTTGTGATTTACACAAATGGTTTAGCGAAGCTAGGTACTAGCACATTTGACGTATCCTAGTCATCCTGAAGGTTGAAGAGCATTTCAGAGATTTCAGATTAGGAGGGCAGGGCAGGGCAGGGGACCAGGCTCCCTGCTCACTCATAGACTTGTCTGGGGTCATGTAGATCACCAATGGCTGAGCACCAAAGCCAGAAACCAGGGCTCCTAGCTGTCAGTTTACTTCTGTTTCTGATTGTGTGTGAGAGAAAGAATCTGGAGCCCTGCTGGGGCAGTGGGTTAAGTATTGGGCTGCTAATGGGTTATTCACCTTGGGGAAAAGATGAGGCTGTTTGCTCCCGTTAACATGTACCCCCTTGGGAACCCTAGGAAGCAGTTCCCTGTGTCTATAAGGTTGTTATGAGATGGAATCAACTTGCTATACCTACGGATGTTTGGGGTTTTGATGTGTAAACATTAATGCAAAGATGTGTTAAAGACAATGTTGTTGTGAGGTGCCATTGAGCACACAACAGAACAAAACCCTAACTGGTCCTGCCCATCCTCCCAATTCTTCCCTTGTTTGATCGTGTTGTTGCTACCACGCTGTCAATCCATCTCTTTGGGTGTCTTCCTCTTTTTCATTCACCCTCCCCTTTACCAAGCAAGGTGTTTTTCCATAGGGACTGGTCCCTCTAAATAACACGCCCAAAGTATGAGAGACAAAGTCTCCTCAGTGTGGCTTCTAGGCAGCAGTCTGGATCTACTTCTTCTAGCAGTGCATGGTACTTTAATATTCTTCTCCAACACCATAATTCAAATGCATTGATTCTTCTACAGTCTTCATGTTCATTGGCCAACTTTCACATGCAAATGAGCCTATTGAAACTATAGAGGCTTGGGGTCAGGCACACCTAAAAGTGATCTCTTTGCACTTTAACACTCTAAAGAGGTCTTTGGCAGCAGATCTGCCTAACGCAATACATCATTTGAGTTCTTCCATGAATGTTAATTGTGGATCCAAGCAAGATGAAGTCTTTTGCCAGCTTCAGTCTTTCCCCATTGATCGTGATATTTACTGATCCAGTTGTTACTTTGTAGCTTCTTTGCATTGAAGTACAATCCATACTGTAGGATGTAGTCTTTGATCTTCATCAGCAAGTATTTCAAATGTCCTCTTTGTTTCTAGCGAGCCAGGTTGTATCATCTTATATTGCAGGTTGTTAATGAGTATTCCTCCTATCCTGATGCCACATTTTTTTTTTTTCATATAATTCAGCTTCTCAGATTTTTTTCTCAGCATACAGATTGAGTAAGTATGGTGAAAGGATACAACCCTCACCCACAATTTTAAACCATCATATCCCCCTATAGGAACCAACTCAACAGCACTTAACAACAGTATACATACATACATATATGTATGTGTGCGTGTGTACATAGCTAACAAAACTGGTCATGGATGTTTTAAGCATTTCCTTACTAATAGTGCATTTCCAGGGCAGAAAAGCAGGCTCTAGTTAGTCCAGCATTTCTTTTCTGTCAGAGTGTTGTGCGTGACTGTGATGTGCACTTGTCTTCTTTTATAGCTTCTGAGAGAACACGCCACACCCCTGCCCAAAGCCGAGCCGTGGCCCGTAGTGGGTCAGTTTTCCAGCATTGGCTCCCTGGGGGCTGATGAGTCTAAATGGTTGTGCTCTGAGTTTAAAGAGAGTCTGGTGACACTGGGGAAGGAGAACAGAACGCTGGGACAAAGTGCCATTCCCCTTCATCTGGTGAGTGCTCTGCCCTTGAGTTTGCTTGTTTGTTCTCTCATACAGGGAAAGGGCAGAGTCTGCCCTCTTAGGAACAGATAGGTTTTTAGTCAGTGATTTGGGCATGGGTGTGGCAATACGTTAACATCATTATTTGTAACCAAGTGGCCTTCGGGTCATCCAAGGCTTAAGAGCTGGCTAGTCTATGTGTGTTCAGGGACTCTGTCTCAGCCCGCGACTAGCCTGCTCATTTCTGTTACTTTTTCTTCTGGTTAGTAGACCCAGCAAAAAAACTTTTAAATCAAAAACAGAATTGTTGTTGTTCTTAAGTGCCATCGAGTCAGTTCTGCCTCATAGCAACCCTGTATGGTGTTGCTGAGGAGTGGCTAGTGAGTTTGAACCGCCGACCTCTTGCAGTTCAAACCGACCTTACGTTCCAGTGCTTTAGCCCACAGCACCACACATGCCATTATTAATGATTTAGAAACTTGGGGGTGAGTAATTAATTTTGTATTCAACTAAGTGTCCATTTGGCCATTCAGAAGGACAAAAACTATTCAGATTGAAGTGTAATTTTCTCTTTTTTTCATCAACTAGCTACAGTGCTTGCAGTTTAATTACTAGAAGTTCAGTTTTCTTTAAAGACTGGAACTTTCTAAGTATATTGTAAAGCACACATTCTAAGTTTTTGTAAGTTTTAAGTAAATGGTTTTCACCAAGATTTTTATGAAAAACGAATCGTTCATCACAAAGCGTTCCTTCAGTGCAGTGCAGGACCAAATTCACTGGTTTCTTTCTTACTCCATTTAGATCTACCCTTCAGTGGAAAATGTGCGGACCAGCTTAGAAGGATACCCTGGTAATTGTTGGGGAGACGGTCTCAAGTTGTCTTTTCTGTGTATAGTCTGTAAATGCCCTGGCACACGTTTTCAGGCAAGTGGTCAGAATACCTTCCTCCTTGAAATGAAGAAAGAATGGGCTAGGAATTAAGAGGTTGTTTTCTTTGAAGTGGATGAGAATCAATTCTGTTGGGCACTGCTGTGTTCCAGAGATGGTAGTGCATAGCTGTGCAGTTTGGGGATGCTGTTCGGTCCTCATAGTAACCCCTTGCAGGTTTCTTCTTCTCGTTTTTACCTACCTGGCCATTCTCAACTCTGCCACCCACAGGTCGAGTGCCCAGGCAAGACTCCCAGGTAAAACCCAGAGCTTACTCCTATGGACCAGTGCCTTTCAGAGCACACCTGGGCCCCTTCTCTCATCCTGCCTGCATCCTCAGCATTCCTTGCCTTGCCCTCCAATGAAGGAACCCCTCTAAGGGTACACGGAGTTCTTTCAAATGTGAATCCTGAATAAGGCTAGGAACTTAGGGTTAACACTGAGTTGAAGCCTTTGTTATAACCGAGCTGAGTGTCTGTCCTTGGAAGGGCTTCACCTGTCAGTGCCTGGGATTATTTTACAGCTATCTTTTGGCCTTGGTCTCCATTTCCCTTATGCCAGTACTGGGCACAAAGCTTTTTTAGAAAACAGCAGTGCCCCAGATAACTAAAAACCCAAATAACGCATGACTCTAGAAAAAGGGGAGTCTGGTTGGTATTTGCTGATGGCTAAGCAGAATGGGGGAGTCCTGGTGTGGTGCTGTAGGTTCAGCACTGGACTGGGAACCACAGGGTCAGCAGTTCAAACTCATCAGATGCTCCTTGGAAACCCTATACAGTGTTGCTATGAGTCGAAACCGCCTCAATGGCACTTAACAACAACAATGAGAGCAGAATGGTGTCATTTGGCCTAATTTTGCCCATTTATAGCTTATCAAACCAGATGTGATCCAGCCAGAAGAATCTCATAGGGTATGGTGAATAGTAGTCCATTTTTCGCCTTTGAATGGCAAAGCAAAAATTATTTCACTGCGTGCCACGGACTCGGTGCTGTGTTTTTTCTGCCTTCTCCTTTCTGTACCTCTCATAGGCACATTCAAAGTGAACTTTTAATGGGCCAGAATGTGACGTTTCTAATAAAGCTGCCTATAACTGCCCCCAAAACTCTGAAGATGTTTTTAATTATCTGCAACAGGAGACGAAACATGCCTTTTTCAATATTCCGGAGACTTTTCAAAACCCTCTTTGGGTAGAGATGACCATGGGAAGTTCCAATATGTGTTTTGTAGGTCTCTGGTGAATCTGCAGTGGAATTTTCCTGCTCTCAGAGATGAATGACAATTGGCTTTTAATTGTGTTTCCACTTGGAACCATATCTTTGTTCTCTCTGCAGGCATAGGAGTTGAGACTTTTCTTTTTGAAAGCATGACCGTGTACTGAAAAGTGTAGTTCATCTTTTGTGATTTTTCTGTTCCAAATGTAAGAGTTTAGGTGACATTAGATTCACACCATACCTAACTGTCCCAACTCGCACACAAATTCGAAGTATAGACAGACTTAGGAACGGAACTCATTTGTAACCCAGCACTGGTTGTGCAGTACCTGCAGCTCCTGACAGACAGACAGCCCCAGACTGTCCAAAGTCAACCTGCCTGTGGCTGCCTGGGTGGCTGGTCAGCTCTCTTGCTCTTCCCTACCCCCATGCCTAGTGAATGGGCAAGTCCTTCATGGCTGCAATTTTAGGGTCTCAACTCCTCATCTCCCACACACATTAGTTTCATCTGTTTTGTTTTAGTTCTTCCTCCCCCACAACCAATCACATGGAAACAATTCCCATAATCCATCACTGATGTTCTCTAAACAAAGTGCCTGGTGGTACCAGCAGTCAGTACATTCAGCTACTAACCCAGAGATTGGCGCCTCAGACCCACCCCAAGGGGCCTCCGAAGAAAGGCATGGTGATCTACTTCGAAAACTTGACCATTGGTTCCTCTGTGGAGCCCAGTTCTACTCAGACACATATGGGTCACCATAAGTCAGGGCCAGCTTACTGGCCAATAGCAACTGACTTGTTAAGTGGTGTCGAGTTGTTTCCGACTCAAAGCAACCCTGAATAGGGTCTCCAAGGAGTGGTTGGTGAGCTTGACCTGCAGACCTTGTGGTTCAAACTGACCATGTAATCCAGCACTTTAACCCATAGCACCACACCAGGACTTCAGCAGCTGACTGGATGATCTTTAAGGAGGGCTATAGTAGGGTTCTGTGTCAACTTGACTTGGCCAGATTTCCCAGCAGATTACCATGGTGATGAAGCCATAACTAGCAGGCATAATTAACTCCATGATTGGCCCGGAGCAGCCAATCAATTGAAAGGATGTTTCCTTGGGGTGTGGCCTGCTCCCAGTATAATGGACGCAAGGGAACACTTGCTCGCTCTCTCTCTTCCTCTACAATTGTAAGCCATTTCCTTGTATAAACTCTTGATGCGTTAAAAATAATGAGTTAGTTTAGGTAACTAACTAGTTCAATTAGTCTTTAGAAGGAGGCAGGGGAACTGAGTTCTCATCCTGTTCTGCACCTCCAAGTATCATGGTTCTGGGCAGAACAAAGAGGCTCTACAGACCTTACCTTTCCCAAGGATGTCTCACCTGCATTTGGGTGTTAGGATACACCCGGCTTCTTTCTGTGGTCTTTCCTAACGCTTCTAATCTATGCTGTTCACAGATACTACGTGACCACCATGAAGTGATTCCATAAGGCCATTTTCTTTTCACATCGTAAACACTGACAGTTTACTGTGCATTACTAAGAGAGGAAACTCCATTGAGAAAGCATGCGTCATGTGCCTTCAGACTTTTTTATTCACCGAAATATTCCCAAAGATCTCCTGGTGGTAGTAGTGTTGTTTATCTTCGTACTATTTACTGTAGGTTTTTAATGAAGAGATCTTCACATTGCACATTGTCCTTTGTATGTACTAATTCTGTTTTCCTTCTTTTAAAAGCGGGGGGCTCCCTTCCTTATAGTATCCAGACGGCTGAGAAACAGAACTGGCTGCATTCCTATTTCCAGTAAGTAGGTGACAGTTATTGCTACTTCAGCAATAAGAATGTTGTCTGCATTCGTCTGTTTCTTTAAAAGAAGGACCTTATGTACTGTAACTCTATTGTTTCCATCCACATGCGTTGGTGATAGAAATCATTTAAAACAAGGCTATGAAATGTTTTCTTTTCAGTAGGTTTTTATTACCAGAGTGCAATTTCTCTCTGTGGTTTCTATTTAAATATTGGCATGTGAGAAAAAAAAAAAAAAGAGGACCATGTTGATTTGTTACATAGGCAGCGTTCCACTGCATGTTTGAAAATTAGAAAGCACAGTCTTTCCGACTCTACGTTCAGAGGATGGATGTGTGGCTATGGGCTCAAACACCTCATTTCCTTGAGGACTAAGGAGTTGGTTTTGACCGTGGTCAGAGTTCAAGTGAAGGAATATTGCGCATCCTTCTCCTAGCTAGAGCAGTTGTACATCCTGTTTGTCCTTGGCCAATCCCAGTTCCTTGTCTCAGCAGGTATTTCTTTACTGTGCCAGACAGCGTGGTGGGTAACCAAGGAGTCAAAGGTCAGTTACACGGAGAACTTCATCTCCCAGGATGGCTAGAAGCCCATCACAGATAGCCAGGTCTGCAGATCCATTCCCCAAATGGGAGGGTCAGTGGACTGAACCTCCCTGGTGCTGGAGAAAAGAAGCGAGCTTCCCTGCCCCACAAAAAGCATAGGAGAACATAGAACAGGACGCTAAACTGAACCGAATTTGCTGCCTCACGTGGACCTACAGGACCAGCAATCTCTAGGAAAATGATTTGTCATATGACATAGGTGTTAATAGAATGACCACCTTGGAATTCGAGTTAGTGAAATGTCAGCTGGCAGGCTTTACTGTGTCCTAGTGTGGCACTGTGGAGTCAGCACTGGACTGTGAACCAGAAGCTTGGTGGCTCAAGCTCACCAGCTGCTCCTTGAAAACCCTATATATACAGTGTCGCTGTGAGTCAGAACCGACTCAGCAGCACTTAACAACATTGGAGTCCTGATGTGACGCTCTGGGATAAAGAACTGGTCCAACAGGTCGGTTTGAACCACAAGGTCAGCAGCTCAAAGCCACCAGCTGCTCCTTGGAAACCCTATTCAAGGCCTCTATGAGTTGGCAGCACTTCACATAACAGCATTGGAAAGGAGGGCTCCAGGTGTAAACGCTGTAGGATCAGCGCTGGACTGTGAACCACAAAGTCGAGGGCTCAAACCCACCAGCTGCTCCTTGGAAAACTATACAGGGTCACTATGAGTCAGAACCAAGTTGATGGCACTCAGAACAGTAGCAACATTGGAAATGAAGGCAGATTGGTGTGACAGCGACTTTGAAGCCTTAGCCCAGTGGATCAGCCTGGAGCCGTGCTTCAATGCCATCTCTCGAGGGCTGTGGCTTTTAGAGGCCATTTCTTTATATTGAGCTCTTTCAGCAGTTTGAGCCTGGCTACCAACGTTGGTGGTTCAAACCCAACCAGTGGCACTGCAGAACGAAGGAAGGCTGCTTCCATAAAGATGTCAGCAGGGAAACGCCACAATACGGTTCTATTCTATAGCACATGGAGCCGGCCTTGAGTTGGAATCAACTCAGCAGTGTGACGTTTGGTGTTTTGGTTTTCCATATTAGGTTAGTAAATTGTCTCAAATAAGACGTGGTCTTCTATGCCTGTATCGTTGCCCTATGATATAAATGGATTCCCCTCTGAAGGCCTTATTCCTGCAGTGTTGCAAATGTAGAAACCAAACTCGGCTTGCAACTGTGAGCCCTTGACTACGGTATTTCTGAACCACCGCCCTGCTTTCCAACATTTCACATTTGGAAACAAAATACAAAAGTGGCAAAATGCAAACAGCCTGGACTTCCGTATTTTGTTTCATTCATCAGGCATTTACTAAACCTCCACTGTAGAAACACTGTCAGACATGAAGGAGGCAGGGGAAATGGCTCTCGCTTTCCAGCTAAAAGGCGAGATGTGTACACATGTGGCCATCACAACAGAGACGGTGGTGCTGGCAGTTACGTGCTGTGGAGTCAGTTCTAACTCATAGTGACCTTGCACACAGTTTCCGAGGCTGTAAATCTTTACGAGAGCAGAAAACCTCCTCTTTCTCCCACAGAACAGCTGGTAGTTTTGAACCGCTGGCCTTGAGGTTAGCAGCCTGACTCGTAATCACTACGCTATCAAAGCTCTATAGCAGTAGACAAGAGTAAATCAAAAAGGGTTGCAACGAAATCATAGAAACCTTTATGAAACTAAAATATCAAAATGTGAAGCTATTGTTTCCCAGCACATCCTTCATCTAGGTCTATCCACTTCTGAAGTGGTGTTTCCATCTCTCTGACCCTCCCTGAAGAATTCTGCACTCTTCAGTTCATTGTTGTTGCTGTGAAGTGCCATCGAGTCAGTTCCGACTCATAGCGACCCCGTATAGCGCTTCTGATGAGCAGCTGGTGGGTTTGAACTGCAGCCTGTGGTTAGCATTTCAGTGTTTATTCTGCACCACATCAAAACAGCAGTTTTGTCATTACTGAAGGACTCCGACTGTGCTCCTTTAATATGTTCTTTGCATTCGGGGAACAAAAAGAAGTCGGAAGGGGCAAAGTCAGGACTTTAGGGTGGAAGAGGTAAGACTTTCCCAATGAAATTCTCATAGAATCGCCCTCAAACAATGAGCAGAAGTGTTCTGATGGAAACAAATTCCTCCTCAGTGCAACTTGCCTGGCCTTTTTCTCACCATTGCACTTTTTCCTTTCCTTAAAACTTGTTCATAAGAAACTTTCATAATCACCCTGTGTGTCCTTTGAGAAAATTGATCAAGGTAAATAACCCTTTGGTGGTGGTGGTTATGTGCCATGAGTCCCCAAACACAGTTACATAACTTTCTGCGCTAATGTCTTGGCTTTGAATTCATCTTTGAGGTCTTCTTGACCTACTTAAAAATGCTGCTCTATCTAAATTAAACGGTTTAATGTGGGACAGTATTCCCATAAATGTGTTGCAAAGATTCAATGATCTGGAAGATGTCTACTTGAGTTTTGTTAAAAATTTGATTCGTCTTCACCTCGAAATCTTTTTTTTTTTTGCACCGTAGCACAAAACGTATCCTTTGTTTGAAGGCACCCTAACGAGACTAAGACGAGTGTATTTCTGAGAGAACTTGTCTGCAGCCATCCACTGATCACAGAGACATGTTGAAACACAATTTGTTTGGAATAAGCCTTTGTGGGCATGGACTGGAACCCCTGTGGGAATACTTTTGGACTTAACCTCACATGTGCGAGTATATCTGCTTTCTGCTCCCGTAAAGATTTATAGCCTCGGAAAGCCTGTACAGGGGCACTATGAGTCGGAACCGACTCCATGGTACTTAACAACAACAACATCATGTGATGACTTAAAAGGACAGGAAGGACACATGCTGAAAGGATGCTTTTCTGGGGTGGAGGGTGATTTTCTTTTTGTACAAGTTCTACATGCTAACATGAGCAGCATTGAATAAAATGGTCCAGGTCACATCAGCACCTGCTGGTTTTTAAATGACACGGTTTTGCTTTTCGTGCAGTCTCTGACTACGAAGAAGATCATTTATACACACTCTTTTCTAATTATTGCCTTTCCTGTCACTAGCAAGTGGTCAGCTGAGACATCTGGCCGCAGCAATGCCATGCCCCACATTAAGACGTATATGAGACCCTCCCCAGACTTCAGCAAGATTGCCTGGTTCCTTGTCACAAGGTGAGTCATCTTTATAGTCCTGGTGGGAGACAATTTTCAGTTGCTTGTAACTCCTGCTCTGAATATTGAATGGGCTTCCCGAAGATGAGTTGTGAAGTGGGCATCATTGGTTTTCAGCATGTGGGTCCTGAGCTTTATTGAAAGGAAGCATATGATTGAGCGCTTCACACAGCATGTAGTCATCACCCGATGGAAAATCAATCTAGAGGTTTACAAGGCTTTGCAAAGTTGGTGTTTGTCTTTTATTCAGTACTTAAAAAATAAGACAGAAAAACCAAGCCTGCTGCTATCGAGTCGGTTCCGACTCATAGCAAGCCTACTCACAGTTTCCGAGACTGTGAATCTCCACTGGAGCAGAAGCCTCTTCTTTCTCCCAAAGAGCAACTGCTGGGTTTGAAGTGCCAACCTTGAGGTTAGCAGTCCAGTGCTTATCCTACAGTAAATTCAGTAAATTGTCATTTGGGGAATCTCCTGGTGTGGCACTGTGGGTTAATGAGCTGGACTGCAAAGCCGTTTGAACTGCCAGGTTGGCGGTTCAAGCTCACCAGCTGCTCCTTTGAAACCCTATACAGGGTCACTGTGGGTCGGAAGTGACTCGGCAGCACTTAACAACAACAACAACCTATAATAAAAATGAAAGAGTAAAATGAAAAATGGTAAGGTCAATATTGGTTCCAATATTTTCTTCCTGGCAGTTGAAACTTGAGCAATCAAATCTATTGTTATTGTTGTTAAGTGCCTTCTAGTCGGTTCCAACTCTTAGCAACCCTGTCTAGGGTTTCCGAGGAACAGCTGGTGGGTTTGAACCACCGATCTTGTAGTTCAAACCAACCTTGCAGTCCAGTGCATTGTCCTGCAGCTACACCCCTTTTTTTATTTTTGACCTCTTTCTTGAGATGCAGTTCGCATACCGTACGATTCGCCAGTTAAGTGTATTGTTCTGCCGCCTTAGTATTATTCAGAGATGTGCAATCATCGCGACAGTCTGTGTGTACAACGCTTGTTATCACCCCCACACGAGCCCCTCCTCCCCCATAGGCAGTCCATGCACTCACGCAACAGAGAGTTAGGCCCTTTAAGAACAGAGCCGTGACTAGAACTTTAGGTCTAGGCTCTGTGTCCGAACCGGAACCACTCGGCATCCTCATGAGTCACTAACATAATTGATGTCAAGAGCAACTACTGAACGTACCACACAGTAGAATTGGTTCCCTGGATCTTCTTTGCCTGGTATTCTGTGGTATGGCTGATGGCGAACTTCACTGCACCTCCACCCTAGCTGCCATCAAGCCCCGTCCTCTCAGAATTGGTTCTCGAAGAAGGAACCACATTTTGGAACAAAACTTTTAGACCAAAGGACCTCTTAGACACAAAGTCATTTTGCTAGCTCACGGAAATCAGTGGCTAAACTTGTCACCTACACTTAGAAATAGGACAAGGAACTGTGGCCCGAACTATGTCACTATTACAGGTTTAGAGACACCAGGGGTGTTCTCTCAAGGTGTGTGGGATCGTGGGTGCCATGGAGAAGCAGCGTTCAAGTCCTGAAAATGGAGACGTGAGAGCCAGGCTGTTGTATCTAGCTCTGGGAGTCTGGGGCATTTGTTTGTTTATTTATTTTTAAGTTTTTATTGTGAATTGAGTGATAGTTTACATGGGAGAACATCAGCTTTACACTAATCATTTTATTGCAATGATTATAATCTCTTCCATGCATCGTCATTCAACAGTATTTGTTTCTATTTCCTCTGTTTTTTGGGAGGATGTACACAAAAGCACTGAGGAATATATAATCATTTAAACAATCCAAGGGTACTTTACAAGCCTGCCTCCTGGCCGCCAACACTCAGCCTTTCTCTTTGCATGAGTCTAGAGTCCTCAGCTGCTCTCTCTCTCCATGTCCTCATCTCTGCCTCCATCGCTGGTGTCACTGCTTCTCTGGAGAGGGTCACACATTCTGCTTATGCTCTTCTCCCTTTATGATCCTAGGGTCCTCTGTTCTTGGGCTGTAAGAGTAACTACTCCCCAATTTTTGTTATAAAACTTCTACCTTTTCAATTGTGACAGTCTCAATTAGTCATGGTAACAATGACTCACTACTGAATCATAAGAATCTTATCCCATCTCTTTTCACCAGAACCTTCTAGGCAAGGTGAAAACTGTTTAGTGGGGATTCTACCTTCCCCTGCACACTCTGAAACTAAACTCCCTCTTGAAACTTGTAAGCCAGTCACTTTGTGCCTTTATGTTATTGCTGTTAACATGCTGTTGAGTCGGTCCCGACCCATAGCAACCCTGTATGAGGTTTCCAAGAAGCAGCTGGTGAGCTTGAACCGGTGACCTTGCAGTTCAAATGACTTTTAGATAGCCCCCATTTTAGATAGCCAATGTCTAAGTTGTCCATCCCTATAACCCTGTGTACTGAGGGGATAGGCTTGAACCTTAATATGAAGACTCTTTCCCTCTTGGTTGGTATTTTGAGCTACTACACCCTTAAGTAAGGAATGTAGTGGTTACGAATTGGGCTACTAACCTCATGGACAGCAGTTGAAACTACCAGCTGTTCCGCGCGAGAAAGATGAGGCTTTCTGCTCCTATAAAGATTTACAGCTTCAGAAACCCTATGCAGGGTCTCTGAGTCAGAACCCACTCCACGGCACATAACCACCACCACCACCACTACCACATCCTAAAGTGTAGGTCAAGTTCATCAAATTGTAGCAATTTACACTTGTTTCCTTTATCAAAAAAAAATTTTTTTATCTTCCTCTAGTCAAGTTCTAAGGAGCTCTGGTAGCATAGTGGTTACGAATCAGACTGCTAATCGCATGGTCAGCAGTTCGAAACTACCAGCTGTTGACGGGAGAAAGGTGAAACTTTCTCCTCCAGTAAAGATACACAACCTTGGTACATAACAACAAGTCGCGTTCTGATCAAGTCAACGAGGCTAGATTGAATGGGTACTGTCTACAAATTTGAGTGTTTTAGTGTGTCTCCCCTCACTTCATATCATCTGGACACTTTGCGCTCAGCTCTGGCCCTCTGTGGCTGTGTTCTTGTCCATGGGCTCAGGAGTTGGGGGGTTTATTTAATAGGAGTCTGTTTCTGTTATGTAAAATGATAAAGTGATTGCCACTTGGGGTTATTGTAAGAGTTAAAGGAGTATGTAGAGCTGAGGATGTGAGACAGAACCTACTGGAAAAGGTAGCTATGACTGTTATTATTAAAGTTCCCTTAAGTCGGTTCTGATCTATAGTGACTCTTACAGGGTTTCCGAGGAGCAGCTGGTGAGCTTGAACCGCTGATCTTGCAGTTCAAACCGACTTTGCAGTCCAGTGCATTTACCCACGGCACCACACCAGTGATTGTTCGCATCTACAACACTCCTTCCAGCTCTAGTTTCACTGACTGAAGGATGCTCAGGGAGCGAGTACAATTATCTATACTATGACTCTTTGAAAAGAGAAGTTTCTTCATCTGAATAGGCAGGTTTGCTGGTGTGGAGACCTGAATTCCCTGGATGGGGATGCAGAAATGAAATGCCAGAGAGAACAAAGGCGAAGAAGGCACCCAGCCCCTCTTTTGGCGAGGAGTTCAAGGTCTGGTTGTGCAGTGTTTGTGTTTTCCAGCTTTTAAATAACAGACTAGATTATTCCAAATATTCCTAAAAGTGGCTAGAAATTAAGTCTTAATGCTTTTATAAAGTTAGCCAGTGAGAACGTGAATTTGAGCAGATTGTGGATCCCAGAATGGTCCATAAGGAGTATTCAGAGACGTCCTGGCATCATCCCATCTTTTTGTTCAGTAACTGTCTTTGCAACCAGTTCACTAATTTGCAAGTAGAAAACCTGCCTTGTAATCTTCAATTTGAATCACAAGGTCAGCAGTTCAAACTCACCAGCCACTCCTCAAGAACCCAATACAGAGTCACTGTGATTTTGAACTGATTCAGCGTCACTTAACAACAACAACAATGTTCTAATTCAGTCCTGATATAACGCTGTAGGATAATTACTGGAGTGCTAGCTACAAGGTCAACAGTTCAAACCCACCAGCCACGGAAACCCCATACAAGGTTGCTAGAGGTCAGAACCGACTCCACCACACTTAACACAACAACATCCTTCTAATACTGGTTCTGCTGCATGTTGACCTTGCGAATGACCTCCACTCCCTGATAACGTATGGTCAGTGAAACAATTGGCTTGCTTCCAAGTCTAAGATGCACCACCTGGAGACATTCCTCAGTAGTGCACTTCATCTGCTCCCAGGGCAGCTTTATATATCCTGTTGTTTGGGATTGAGGACCTTAAACAATGTGACCTGCACCTTAGTCATGCTTGACAGTTCTCTTACAGTTTGGATGATGGGACTTTATCTATTACGTTACTTTTTTTTTAACTCAAGTCAAGGTTCTTAACTAAAGCCACTTGGCATTAATGTTGAATTGAATTTGCAAACTATACTATATGCAACTTGTTGGTTGAAAATCCCCTTACCTGTTAATTTAGCGGATGCAATGGCACTTAACAACAACAACAACATTCAAAGCATGGCAAGAGCAGGATAAAGAAACATCTCGAATGTTTGGTGACGGTCTTATCCACTGTTGTTGTTACGTGCTGTCAAGTTGGTTCCAACCTATAGCGACCCTTTAGAGGGTTTCTGAGGAATGGCTGGTGAGCTTGAACTGACAACCTTGCGTTTCAAACCAATTTTGCAGTTTAGTGCATTAACCCACAGTGCCACACCAGGGTTCCTCCTTTTTTTCCTGATAGGAAAACTGGAGCCCAAAGAGATTACGTCTTAAAGATCACACACATCAATTAATTATGTTGCGAAGTGCCATCAAGTCTGTTCCAAATCGTAGCAACCCTGTATAGGGTTTCCGAGGAGTGGCTGGTGGGTTTGAACCATTGACCTTGCAGTTCAAAGTCTAGTGCTGATTCTACAGAACCACGCAGGACTCCCCTGGTTTTATCTGCACAGAGGGTGACTGT